ATTCAGAGGGCCCCCTGCCTGTCTTTGCCCAGGGCCCCAAATGTCCTAAATCCGCCCCTCCTCGTCATCCAGACAGACCTCAGCAGAAATTACCTTTATCGTGGTTTCCGGCAGGTTGAGCGCTGCTGCCAGTTCGCAGCGCCGAGCCCGGGACACGTAGCTCTCATTGCGGTATTCCTGCTCCAGACGGGACAGCTGGTCCCGGGTGAAGGCCGTCCGGTGCCGCCTGCTGGGCTCCTGGGGGCCCGGCTGATCCTCCCGGAGTGCTGGCTGCCTGCCCTCCGCCACTGAAACGACAGGAAGCGGAGAGGAAGCCGCTGTGCGCCGCAGGAGAGAAGGCTCCTCCATCACCAGCGGACACTCGCTGCTTCACACTCATGGATCAAAGTTTAGATCCTTAAATTGTTTTGTTTTTTTTAATCTAAAAAAAATATCCAAATAAAAAAAAAAACAGATTTCTGTTTGTAAAATACGTTTCTGATATATTTATTTCAGTTATGTATAAATGAGTTGTCTGTCTGCGGGTTAAACAGAGGGACGTTTGTAACCCCGCAGAGGCGCAGGAGGAAGCAGACACATTTATCTAGGGCCCCTCCGCCCCCCCAGCACCCAGGGGCCAGCAGCGTCTCTCTCTCCAGGAGCAGAAGCGGCGCCGCGGCTCTGAGAGGTGTTAAAGGTGTTCCCTTTGGTCTCCTTCTCTGCCTTTGTACTTTTGTTATGGAGAATTAAAGACGTGGATGTGGAGACCACAAACACACACTTATTGTTTTCATCTGTTTGATGTGTTCCAGTTTAGGAACGAATTATCTCAGCCGGCCTGCAAACAGACGCGCTGAGAGGAGTCAGACATGGAGATCATTGCAAGGCTCTAATAGCTACTGTAGAGGTTTAACGCATGATGTTAATACTATCCACTGACTTTAGCTTTTATTTTGTTTTCATTGCAAATAACGCAGCTGCTAATTTGGGGAACAGAAGTTTAAATCATTCATTCATAATCTTCCATCACATCAGTAAATCACTAAAATGCCTCATTGGGAGCAGGCCTTTTGCTTCATGCAATACAATTATTTTTTCTCATAGGAAATTACAAAAACAGTCACCTGTGGGCTGCAGTGGGATCAGATTTGATGAGTTTTAAAGGAAAATTCTGGTCAGCAAGGATTAATCAATGGGTCATTATTTATACCTAAAACGGTCACAGTGATTCAATGAATTAAGCGTTTAATAGTGAAAAAATAAAAGCAGTAATTTTCACGATCATTGAGTCTGGGAGCGGCCATTTTTGCCCAAATATAGTAACC